ATTGTGCTTAAACATAATAAGATGTCTTCAAGGCAAGCAGGGTGAAGAATGGCGCTGAAACAAGAATGGAATTCCCAAATTGCTCCTTTTTGAGGAGGAAGACCACATTCCTCATAGTGTACATGGGATTGTGGGGATGTCTCAGAGCCCAACAGGAGGTGGAAACAGTCTGTCCCAGCAGCGTGCCAGAAATCCACCAAGCGAATGGAGGAGAAGCCTCAAAATCCTTTGACTCAACTCCCCAATGCCCATGGCAGCTGGGGGAAAAAATCCTTAGCACTCCCTGCCAGCAGTGGGCATCCTGTGGGAAACACACTCAAATGTGCCCACCCAGCACCTCTCCTCAGGGAAAATAAAATTACAGGATCTGAAAAGCGGAGTCACAGAATGATTTGGGTTGGAAGTGACCTTAAAGATCATCTAGTTACAACCTCCTGCCATGGGCAGGGACATCTTCCCCTAGACCAGGTTGCTCAAAGCCACTTCCAACCTGGCCTTGAACACTTCCAAGGATGGGGCATCCATAGCTTCTCTGGGCTACCTGTGCCTGTGCCTCACCACTCTCCCAGTGAAGAATTAATTCCTAATATCCAATAATTTCTTCCTAGTAGCCAAAATTAAACTTTTTACTAAAATATGGAACGATTCATGAATTTGTGTGTCTGCCAGCACAGCAAAAGCTCTTTCCTCTTCTTCATTTTAGTTGAACATCCAGCTCCTTGATGCTACAGCCCACCTCCTTCCTTATTCCCATTGCCTGTAACTGGACATGTGAGGAGCAACGAGGCACTGAAGACAACTCTGTGCTTGTGTCTATAGCCTGAAGTGAGTAATTTTATCTGTTTCTGCCTGAAGTAAAATTACTTAACTGTCTTTCCAAGTACTTGGTGGATAAGAAGCATCATATAAAAAGTACACAGCACTACTGCATACAGTGTGTGAGGAATTAAATGTCTGTGATTGGTATCCTTGAGAGATGACTCTACATCCAATGGTCTACCTCTGACTTGGTAGGAGCAGTTGGTGAGATTTTCAACAGACAGACACATAAACACATTTTTACTGAAGATGTAGGTCCTGGACTGCCTAATGTTCTTTGACATTGCACAGGCATAGCCTGGAAACTAAAACATTTGTTGATGGATTTGGAGATTAAATAAATAGTGAATTATCTTCAGGATGTTAAAATGCAGAACTGACTGCCTATCCCATAATAGTAAACCAGCCCTCCCCCAGTACTTCTTGAAATGTGAGTATTTCTGCAAAAGCAGACACTGTGTTAGTTCACAGGACCATTTGTTTAGTAGGTCAGAGCAGTCAGACATCTGGGCATTGGTAAAAATACATCCGACAGCTCGGTGGCATCTTGCACAACTGACTGTCTGAAAGCCTCGACTGGAAGTTTATTATTTGTTAATCTCCTTTTTCAAATGAATTCCAATCATGCAGTCAGGAAACCACACGGTGGATCACAAAACACAATTAAAATATAAAAAGAATTCTTTACAATTAAAATATGGCAACTGGTGAATATTAGCCTCACTGAAAACAGATCAAGGCAACAGTTTTGTTCAGACTGGGAAGACAAATGTATCCCTGGGAATCAAAGCAGACTTGCAGGAGGATTTATTTTCCAGGAAAAGAAACACAGCCTGAGACAGATGATGGTACCTTGCTTCAGGGTACCAAAAGCCTCTAGTTCTCAGATGGCCTAAGTACCAAAGCATTGCTTACAGACAGTGAGAAATGGAGTCACTCAACATCTGTGAGACAAATCCAGTCTGGAGACCAAGAACGAGGGAACAATTTTGTGATTATTTTAACCTATTTTATAACAACTACTACTCAAAGTGCAGCCTGAGCAAGTCCAGACTTCTGATTGCTGTGTCAGTTTGGATTTGAAGATTGAAATCTCAGGTGTGTCATATTGCACTCTGACCACCACAGCCAGCAGCAGCCCAAAATTGCTATTCCATCTACCTCTGCTAATGCAGTGGCATTGCCACTGACTTTCTGAGACCCAAGAAAGCAAAGTCTCTCTTGTCAGACATAAGGGGAATTACACTGATTATGTTGATGCCTGGAGCTTGTTTTCTTTTCAAGAACTATTGCCTGTTGTATTGGCAGTAAATCTGGATTGTACCCTCTATACAGCATTAGTTTAGTCTTTATATATTTTGTAGATGGGAGACTAAAAGGGACTTTCAAAGTTTTGGAAGGTTGTATGGTGGAGATAACAGTTTAGGGCAAGGATATAAAAAAATTCTCCAAGTCAGGGATGCAGCCATGGCTTTGGTTGGTGGTACAAAGGAGGAGCTGAGTCCTCCCCAGTGGTGTGTGCCCAGCACATGGGTCTTGCTCAGCCAGGAACCTGGCTGTGTGCTACACTGCTCTGCTACCCCCAGCTCAGTCACAGCAAGTGGCCCCAGAAGCAGAGATGCACTGAGTTGTGATTAACTCAAAGAAAAAGCACAAAGCATACTTTTCAGAGTATGAAAAAGTTTTGCTTTATTTTACAAAGTTGACTAATGTTTCTTTTTAGGTTTTTTTGCTTATAGTATCATGCAGAGGTCCCACAGCTGATCTGCTTTGCTCTTAAGATGCAATAGCAACAGGGATTAAGATATAGTAGCAACAAAAACTATCATGGTCAAGAGCTTATTTGCTCATCTAAGTAATAAGCAGTGGAAGAAGTTTCTGTCTCTAGGAAGTGATTAAACTGTCAGGCTTTCTGTCCAAGTAATATCCTACTAAAATACTCTGCCAGCATTTAAATTGGAGGATGCTGGCTACTGGAGGAAATGCTTTTAGGATTAATATACATAAGTGTAGAGTTAGCTATCAGCTCATCCTGGCTGCTAATAACACTGCTGCTGCTGGATCTCTGCAGTGATGAGATCCCTTTCCCAACAAACCTCCACCCAGCAGCAGCTCTCATGGTGCCCGACCCATTATTTCAGATCCTCTCCAAAGAACTGGAAGCTCATGGGCATTGACAAATAAAGTGACGTGGTTTTCCTGGGTTTTGCATGTGTTCACTGACTGTCTGAGAAACAAAAAGCTATGCAAGTCCACCCTGACCTGTGAGTGTCAGGGTGCATTGATGCTTGTTTGGGTGGGAAGGGAGGCACCTTTGCTGGTCCCGTTTCATTGGTGACTCTACCAAAGGGGGATAACATGCCAGGAATGTGATATAATGCCATGGGGGATAGCTGAAAGCATGTGCATGTTGTAATGGAAAAAGTTCACTTGTGGATGTGCTCAGTGCTCACAACAAAATAAATCTGTTAAAAAGCCAGCAGTCCTGGGATTTGTCACAGGCAGTAGCATCTCCTGGTGCATGGTGTGTAGGCTGGGATACATTATTAACAATCAGAATCTGGACACATCTGGAAACTAACTCCTTAGTTTTTGGGGATGCTTTTACTTAGGTGGGGTGTAAAAAAAGGGTTAAGCATTGAGCCCTTTTGCTTTCCCCTCCCCTTTCCCAGACCCGAGTGAGCTAATTGGCTTCAGGTTCAGATACTTAAAACAAGCTGCAGAGAGAGGATGGGGCAGCCCCACACCACAGGCAGCCTCTGCACAGGTTAACTGTGAGGTGAAACCAGACAAGACCCAGCACAGCCCAGGGAGGGCAGCTTGGTTCACCTGGAGCCATCACAGTGGTACCTCTCAAGGGGGTTTCAAATTCAAGCCCTGGGGCCACCAGGGCAGTCAGTGGGACAAAGGCCCTTCTGCGTTTGTGTTTCTGGCTGTCTTCTGGAAAAAGTACTTAAAATAAAAATGCTGCCCATGCTTGCTGAACTCCAAAGACCATAAAATCTATTCCTGAAGTCTGCTGAAACCAGACCATGATTTGAAACTGGTTCAAAGTTTGCTGAAATTACTAAGAGCCTTGCCCTGGTCTCCCTCTGACCAACACACACGCAATTTCTACAGGCTTTTAATCTGCCTTCTTTTGTGTAACTTGGCTTCACACTTGGAGACTTCCAAAGCACAGGAAAAGTGAAATACCGAGTAAGTGGGAGTAGCAGAAAATGCCTTTTCCAAATGCAAATACCAATCAGTCACTCCAGCGTCCGGCATTAAACAAATCTTTGGAGATGATGAATATTTTAATGGGTTTGTCCCCACAGCAGAATAAATGCCTAGCCTTAGTTGTCTAGGGTTGATTAAAAAAGCAGACGAGCTGGATACTGGTTGGTTTACAGTGCCTTTGCAACCTGGACTCACCTACGGACTGGAATGAGTTGCTATTCAAAGTGACATTCAGTTCTAGTTCCTTCACTGTGATGTTCAGCTTATTTAACCCAGTTTAGTCAGTCTCAGAAACACACACAGTTTATTAGAGCTGTGTCATTATACCTCAAGCTGCAAGCAATTACTGTAAGCCTACAGAGAAGACAGTCAACCAAGCCCCAAAGCTCTCAATACCACATAAACCATACATTGAGTAAAACAAAAGTTTTAGACAATCAGATGCCCGGGACTTTGCAAGACGAAGCAGTCAGAAGGCATTGCACAAGTCGAGTAGGGATAACTAGGGCTGCTGCAGTTTAAAACCCCCTGCAAATGCCCATTTACCACAGGTTAGGTGCCTTTAGGCATCATTTCCCCTGGGTAAGTTATAAATTATTCCTGTGCAGCTGCAGAGACAGTGTGAGGACACAGAGCAGCTAAGGTTGTACTTATGAGTATAAAGCTCAAGGAAAGAAGATATAGCAGATTGAACTTTAATTTACTTTCACTTATTTCCCTCTGCTCTGTGGAACGGAGAGTTTGGACCTGTGTTCCACCATGGGAGACCCCATCACGATCCTCCTAACCAAAATGTTTCTCCTCCCACACCTCCCCTGCCCATGCTGTCTCCTCTGTCCCACCGCTTATGTAGGACCCAAAGCGGTCAGTAGGAACAGGACAGGACCCTGTGAGACTCCCAGGGGGTCTCCCCCCTGCAGCACTGGGGTTTGAGGGTGTGGCCTGGTGTTTTGCAACCCTACCTGATAAACGTCTCTGGAAATGCACCATGGCTTCAGCATGAGCTGCAGGACCCTCAGGTTTCCAAAGCGGCAAGTCCTCAGAGCCCGGGATGTCAGGCTCCACACCAGGCTGTCCCAACTGTAGAGCAGATCCTCAAAGCCAAAGAGCACAGCAGCCATGCCAGCTCCCTGTGTGAATCACCCCGGATTCCCTGCTTAGAGGCAACCAGCTAATCCCAAGGTGCCTTATGAACTGCAAGGTTAAAAAGTCACTGCAATTTCCATCAAAGAAGGAGAAATAAAAGCAAGCAAAAAAAAAGAAAAAAAATATCAACCACCAAACCACCAAACCAAAACGGACAACAAAAAACCAGCAGCCAAAATAAACTGTTTGGGGATGTGTCTTTCTGCCTTCGCACACGCCCTTCAGGATGTGGTTTCTCCCTCTGTGTATCTTCTCAAAGTGAGTCCTGCTGCACCCAAAGATGAGCAAGGAAGAGGTAAAAATACCTCTCCTGACTTAGGAAGGCAATTGCACATCCCTCGCAAAGGGCTTCTTGGTAACACTGCATCACCTCCCAGCTCTCCGCTGCAGAACCAAGAGGCAAACTTGGATCCAAAGTCATCACTTTGCATGCTCGGTCCTGGGACTCCATCCAGAGGGAAGAAAAAAGCCGCTCACTCTCCGTCTGCCAACATTCCCAAGACATTCCAGTATTGGGCTTAACTCTTTCAAACACTCCCAAAGAACATCTGAGAAGGCAGCTTTGCCACATGCAACATTTCATCCTTTCGTTTTGTGTGTCGACTCACCATTGCACAGTTACACTCCAGTCTTTTCCCCACTCAACTACCTGGTCTGGAGCCTTTTTATATTTTGAACTGAGAAGGGAGCTTTATCTGTACATGAGAATTATGCAACGGTCTGCAAAGCACCTTATTTACCCAAGGGGTGATATTTTGGAAAGTTTAATGGATTAAACAATGGCCTTTTAAAATCAGTCTGATTCAGCTGGTGTGGACATATTATTAACCCTTGATGTGCTCACATTCATAAGGTTGGGTCTCATCTGAACAAGCACAGGAGAATGCAATACACTTCTCTTCATCTGATCTGGATGCCAAAATACCCTTTTTGGTCTACAGATACAAAAATGGCATCCTTTATTTACACTTTTTACATACACTTCTGGCATCCCTTCCTAAAATAAGTATTGAAGAGGGATCAGTTCCCTGACTGTTTCCCCTCAGGAGCACATTGTCTGGGTGGAGACTTAATGCTGTCAACATCTATGATGAGCTGAGCTGAGGGAACTGGTCCAGTGAGGGTGAAAATACATTATCAACATGAGGATTTTGGAGTTCAGTTAAATCACCACAAAATCATGCAGTTATGTTGCAAGACATTTTCCAGCTAAATCGCATGAGTGCTTCTTCTACATATTTAATCACCAGGTGGGGAAACTGAGGTGGAAGTATTTTTATCAAAGGCACAGTGCAAGCCAGTACCCTTGGAGACAACTGCCTGTCAGTGCTATTTTTCACTCATTTCACTCTCCCTTCAGAGGAATGTGCAAAAAAAGGCCACAGGACTTGGAGAGAGCTGACAGGAGTCAGCTGGAGAATTCCTACATGGAGTTGCTTCCAAGGAGGCACTTTTTAGAGGGGTAGGGAGGACAACACCAGTTTGGACTGAAATGATGAGGGACTTGAACTCCTAAAGCTGCTGGTTTAGCAGAGCTGAGTAGGCATAATTTCCGAAAAGCCTCAGTGTCTTCTCTGATTCAACTCCCTGGAGAGGGAAGGAGCAGGAATATTAATATCTGCTTGATTTTCTGTAGGTCTGTCCCACCATGACCCCATCCATAAATTGTTTTTTGAGGACTGGAGGACACAAAGCAAGCCGTGCGTCATGATAACTGCACAAGGATGCTCGTCAGCTCATTGACTGGGCAGGTGGAGGGCCAGGAAAATACAGCTGCAAAATTCATGTTCTCAGCCTAATTGCTTCTTCAGGACTTTGTTTTTAGAGAGGCTTCATAAAATATGGTAATAAAATCGTAATAATGTTTCCTTCAAACTTGTTAGAAGCTATTCATTCTGCGAAGTGCAGTTTTCCTTCCTCCTCTCCCTCGCACTGCCTGTTTTCTTGGTGTCCAGCCTTTGCTGTAGTCTCCCTAGGCTCATCATCTCTTGGTTGTTTGCCTGCCTGTAAACTTGGTAACTCTGCTTCTGTTAGCAGCGATGCAGACAAGGGATCAGGAACATCTCCCTTATAAAGCCTCATTTGAAAGAAAGGTACTTTTTTTCTTATATATAAATTGACTAGACAATATTTGCTCCAGGCTACAGCCTGATATACAAGGTGTCTGCCTGGGAGCACAGGAGAGGAAAAGAAAGAAATGTGTTTGATAAAGGAAAACAGAGGGGGGAAAGAAAACGTAGCAAGTGATTGCTCTGGGATGTGACCTAACCCCTTTGGTATTCTGGAAGGGGGAGAGGAGGGGAAATGGAGGATATACCGCAGTTTTAAAATTAGCTACCCCATATGTGCATCAAGTCTTTCCGTATGGTTGAAAGGAGACTTTCGGCCCCCATCCCAACTCAGTAATTACTCAACAGATGAGGGCAGCTCTGAAGGAGCCTTTTCACTCGGCTGATGACATAATCAGACTTTCTGAAAACAGTTCTCCTATGTATTTATTTAACTGACAGACTGGAGCAGTCTCTTTAGGAATCACTTGAGTCTACAGAAGGCCCAGTGAACGTTTCACTGGGTAGATTTACCTTCATGACTAGAGCAGATTGTTTGATTTCCTGGGGAGGTTTTCCTGCTGATCAGACACATAATATTTTTTGAGAGGGTAAAAGCTGCCTGAGTACAGATTACCCATCCCACCTTGCAGCTTCTGAGGGAATTGCAACCATGGAGGTTTCTCAGACAAAGATAGCCCATCTCCTCTAGAGTCAACTACCAAAAGAGCTCTTTTCCAGGTAGACACCACAAAATGTGCTCTTTCTTATCCAAAAAAGTCAGAAGAGGACATTGCTACAGGGAATGGCAGAAGAGAAGAGAAAAAATTATCGAGAATCAGCAAATTGGCTCTTCTACTCGTGTACCCTTTAAGTAATTTCTATAAAATCATCTTATAATTCTATAAAACACGCTCAGCTTCACCTTCACTAAGGTCAATTTGGAAAAAAAAAGCCCTTTGCACTTGACACAGATCTATAGACATTTGCAGGTCTTTTCCTCTCTAATTATGCGCTGATTATTTCCCGCTGTTTCTGAGAAAATGTCAGCCAAAACATTTACTATGAAACCTCCCACGTTTTACTGACAGTCCGAAGGCTGTTTCTAGGGTATAAAAATAGCTCCTTACTTCCCACGAAAAAAAGGAAAAGAGACCAAACCCCTTGGGCTGCTGTGTTGTTTCATGGGACCATCACTGAGGCTTGAAGGCTGGGGGTGGATTTCCCTACCCAAACCCAGCAGGCAGCTCCTCCTCAATGCAGACCCTACAAATTCCTGCTGTGCACTGGTGTGGGTGGATGCTGCCTGCACCATGAGCTTGAGAGACAGGTCCTTGTTTGCCTTTTTAGATTCTGGCCTTGGAAAGAGGAGATCAACCTCTATTTCCAGCATGCTCCACAGTAAATCTCTACCTGCAGCTTCCTGATGGGTGTGGATGTATTTGGGCTCGATGAAAGAAGGACATGCCGGGTGGAAGGCAGTTTCCTTTGAGCTTGCTGTCGACATACCAGAAACATCCTGTTTCTACTCCGCATATGGCCCCAATGGTCCCTGTAGCTCCAGCCCAACATAGTCTTTTAGGTTCTATTTCAAATTCATGTCCCTTTTTGATCTTTATTTCTCTATAATGTAAAGAGGATTAATGTCATTAAGATCTTTGTGCCCAAAGTTCCCTTTCATGCTGCAGCTTCACGCTTTCTTATGCTGGAGATGTTATTTTGAGACAAATATTTAATTAGTTACATTTTTCTCCTTGTGCCCTGATGGCACATAATTTTTGTGGCCGATATAATGGGAATTGTTAGTGATGTCCCACTGCCAAGCGATCAAACACACTGAGAAGGAGTCATGCCCCTTCCTTCACATCTTCCCAGGCAGAGCCAGGGCACTCAGTGGAGACTTACAGAAGTGACCTCCTTCCCATAACTGAACTGAACCTAGATTCTCACAAGATTTCCAAATGGTCACTGTGCACCAAATCCACTTGAGAACCTGAGCCTCTGAGTGCCCTATTTCCACCCAAATCAATCCCAATCAATTGTCATCCCTCATATTGGGCTTCCCTGTCTTTCTCCTGACACCCAAGGAGGCATCATAGGGATTTTCTGTGTGTTCAGTGGTAGTTTCCCAGAGTGCAAGGACTGGATACTTTTGGCTTTATTTCCTGTACCTTTGCAAGGTTTCATACTTTATATAAGGAAATCTTTGAGGGAAGGGTCTTAAAAGGAACTGGGAATTGCATTTGAGTTAAAGAAGCAAATCCTAAGACTTGAGGCTTATCTTATACAACACAAGGAAACTTGACTGAATTTGAGAGGAGTGAAAATAAAGTGTGGATGTCCATACTGGATCTGCTGAGCCCTTTGATCAACTAAGGATTGACTCTGTATTCATTTTGAATTGCTAAAAGACTCAGTCTAGCTAGGCCACAGCATGTGGACAGTGATCTTGCCTGAAACTTTACAGACTTGTAAAGGAGGCATCAACACCCCTAGCTCATCTCCCTGGAGCTGTAAGATAAGAAGCTGTACTTGGAAGCATCAGCCCAAAGATCTGCTGCCCCATGCAAATGTGATGCCCATGCTGCACTGATTCAGTTACCTCCTAACTCTCACCTACCACATGCTTCCAAAACCACAGATAGAAACAGCCTCCTCCTGACTCCCTGGTCTGCCACCACTGACAGCCCTAAAACTTTCCAGCAGAGAAAATTCAAGAAACTGAGGACTTCCCTGCTGGTTACATTTTAGGATGAACATCATGAGTCAGAAATACTGGGCAATTTTTTCAAGATATTCTCACGAGTCCATATGGCCTAAAATGTTCCATAATGAAATGAACTGCTGTTTCACAGTAATAACTGAACGAAAATTTACTATTCCAGTCATCCACCTTGATCATAACATTTCTAAAGCTCTTTGAAAATGTAAAGTGCTCTGGTAGTGCTGAGTATT